AGCCTGTCTACATCTTCCTATGTGACTGACTAGCTGAAACTTACTGTTGTGAATTTCATTGAGTGATGACGCCATGTTATGGTTTGGCCGCCGCTAGCTCTTCTCCAGCGTGACCCTTTATCAGCTAAAACTCCTAGTCCGTCGAGGAAGCCGATGGCTAGGGATGCATTCGTAACACATGTTCTAACCATCTCAGTCGATGTGGCTTCACAGCCTCGTTGATTGATTTCCCCTCCCACCTTATCTAGCACTCGACCAATGCCTCACCTCAATATTCCTCACCTTATTTTACCACTTCACACGGGAGGTAGAGCGCAGTCACCTATGATCAAAGACGGCTGATTTTTTCATGTCTTCCACTGTCAATGGCCACGTCTCATAGCTGGCCATAAAGAAGGACGGAGCGGACTGATGAGCAGTACACACTCCCTTTGGTCGATACCAAGCCGGATATCATGTCTACTAAGCCAGAGACGGCGTAAACTGGCGCATATGCGAAACTAGCCCTCTGTATTTGTGCTGAGATTTTGTCAGAGATCAACCCGTTGGCGTTGGCTGATGGTACTTCCCAAATAAGTGAAGCGGTCAACGTTATACGGTCAACGATGTACTACTGATAAAGCTTATCAGTAGCACACGCTACAATTACGTGCTTGAATCTAACACAAAGTTCGACTGATCTAGGTTTCCCCTTGATTTCCAAAAATAGTTTGCATCATTTATCCACGCGTATTTCCTGTGATTCCACGCATAAATAACAACTGATACTAATTCCATAAGACATCGTGGCTTAGTAGCTTAATGGATTACGCATTGGTGTTTGAAGTGAGGACGGTTGCTGTTGTTGTTGTTATTCGAGTGTCACTACGCGAGTACCATCATTCATTGAGAAACAGCTGTATCCAGCTAAAAGAGTCTAAAATAAGGTATTATGCACGCATTATTGATTTATTGGTTTATTTAAACTCAGAAAAAACTTGGTGCAATATGGCACCAAGAAAGATGCGCCACACAATAATAATGAAACAACATAGATCAAAAGAAAAGAAGAAAGAGAAGAAAAAATATATATAGGTAGAGAACGGATGAAGAACTTCATCTGGAAGGAAAACAGTCAGGCTTAGCAAGTTCAAACCGTATTCGTTAACTATCATCGGGAAGGGAAGAAAGCAGGAAATTGCAACACGTTCGCTGTTGATTACGATTCTTGGTCATATCCGATAACGTTTCGAGCCATTGATTCGAGTTATCTCGCGGAACACAATCAGGGAGTCGTGACACACCAACCGATGCTAATCTAGCACAAACATCCTTCATCCCACGACACCACGTCATGCACTGACCACCGCTCCGCCTTTTCTATCTCGTCCCAGGGCTGGCTATCGAACAGAGACCTGTACGGAGCACAACATTCGAAGCACATGTCCAAGCCACCGGAACCGGTGTTTCCAGATGACGACCACACTCAATGAATGGGGATCTCCGCTGTGTTCAAACACACGCCACTGAACCTCAGAATTACTCACGCGATGATGCCATCCATCGAACGCAAACAATCCTGCGGAGACAGCGTTGATCGAACACGCAGAGTCGCCACACATCCTCAGCCTATTCGGAGAGGCCAGGCTTCACAGGCCTGGCGTGGAGCAAGACAGCCCGCACCGAAACATTGTATACCAGACGTTTGACAGCCAGACTAACGTGGTGACGGCGCCAGAGGTGGCTCAAGTTGATGTATGCCACCCTAGCCTTCATTACACGGTTGGAAATCTCATCCGTCACCCATCTGCCAGCACTCACACAACTACCCAGATACACAAACTTATCAACAACTTCAAGCGGTTCACCCGGAAGAGTGAGTGCAGGTACAGGCTCGTGTCAATCTTGTAACAGTACTTTGCACTTAGACGGTGCACGCATGGTATTCCACCGCTCATGTTCCATCAGCTAGACAGTATCAAATTAAAAGTTGAATACAAGGGAATAACAGTTCAACTTACTGTGTTTTGCTCTGGTCGAAGAATAAATTACCCTTTATTTACTGTTAAAAAAAAGATTCACACGTAGAAAGATGATATTAACATTTGTGATGTGAAAATATTAGTTATGCGCGTATAATATATCCCTATTGAAACACGGAGATAAGGAAAAAAAAGTGGTCTAGTAAAGTGATTCATTTCAGCAAATTCATTCACACTTTGAAGTACAGTTGTATTGTATATACATTTAGCCTGTCAAATATATAACAAAACAGATAAAAATAAATTATTTTGAAATATTGTTTACATTATTAGAATATTTTAAAACAGTGTGAAGATTAGTCAAATTGTAATTCATGGAGAAAAAGGTAAGTTTTGACTAAAGATTGCGTAATGCGAAAACAAACGTCTAAAAATATCGGATTTTCAAGGGAGAAGCATAGACATATTTTAAGTATCAAAATATATTACGTAACAGGTGAATATAAGGAAGAAAAGGTTGGTTAGAAAATATTGTGTTAATACTTACCAAGCGAAAAGATACAAAAAGGTTTGTGATAACAAAATATTGATAAAAAATTTAGCTTGTAATTATGTCCCAGGTAGGAGTAGGTGAAAAGGTTCCTTCTGTGTCTATAAATCACAGTTTCTTTTTTCGAGTGACTTAGGCCTCAACAAACCAATAAATACAGTAATCATCTCATTTTTTGGAGGCTTCTTTTAACTTTATCTTTGAATGGGTTTCCTCTAGATTCTCGAAGGTCCTGGGTTCGAACCGTCTATATATATATATATATATATATATATATATATATATATATATATATATATATATGAGAAAGTTGGGCAGCAGAATGATACCAGTCTTAATTAAGATGCAAAGAATATTCTTTTCAGGCTGTTTTATACTCTCTTTCGTAGAGTGTCGACCAGAAGGTTTCCTGTGAACGTCACGTTTGTGTATAACATTGTCTCTGGCATTTGCCAATGAATCACATTTATGTTTTTAGAGTTGATAATACTATCTTACTATTCAGACTTTAATAGATGAAACAGAATTTGTTTCTGGGACTTCAGTGATTGAAAGTGAATCAAATTCAAAATGAACTATGTAAGTCATGAGAAGAATCACCGAATAATTACCTACTTTGATGAATGCATTGTCTTATACATATACAAAGGAACGTACTGCCAGTAGTTTCTTTATAGTTTCTTTGAAATTTATCTGTCGATTCTTTAAAGAAAAACAAGAAAACCATACACAGATAGTGAAATCAACTTCCAGAAAAGACTAGTTATGGGTGGTGCGTCGGTGGTTCAGTGGTCGAACACTAGCGGACCACTCAAGTAATTCGGGTTTCGATCCCCAAAAGGTTGGTTTTGAGGCTAGCAACTCTATCTCCTAAAAGACACAACCGTATTGAAACTTTAAAGCTGTAGCTTGGAGCTCTATGTTTCACTTGGAACACAAGAGAATAAATTTGAAAAATATCATTAAATAGGAGGTGCCTATGTTGGTGCCCATAATGTACACATTTTGTTCCTGAAATTTGCGAAAAATTTAAATCATATGGTGTTTAAAACTTCGTATGTGTTGATGTCACTAGTAATGTCCGTTGCAGCCTATTGATAATCTTCATGATAAATAAAAAAACGACAAAATGAGATTGTTCCTGAAAGTAACCTACAGAATTTTAAAAGTTTTCAATTTATTGAGATTATGCGTTTTCTGGGGATTAGGATTAATTTGAACTCCCAGATGTATTCACGAACCATCATCAGCTGGAAAAGTCACTGAACAAGACCACGGAGCACTGGACAACTATCTTGTCCTATTTGGAAACTCTTCATCGGCGCGCACCTACGGCAGTACGTGGTCGTTCCTCCCTCTTTAGGGCTCGTGGCTGCATGTACCTACATTCTTAAGTGAGTGATGGTGTTGAGTTAGGGTTAGGCTTGATAGTTTTGTGACATCTATGTGCATTTACCAATTCAACTGCACCTGCGGTGACAGTTATGTTGGGCGTATTACTAGACAGCTTAGCCAACGTGTTCGTGAACATCTGCCATCGTGGTTTGGCAAAGGACAGACAAAAACAATCCGTAGCTCAATTTTGTCACATTTAATTGATAGTGGTCATGTAGTGGAGGAAAGGAGATCCTTCAAAGTATTTCATCGTATCCCACCGAATCTTTCCAATAGACTTCTTATTCGTCTACTGCACACAGCTGAGGCGATAGACATTCGAATAACTATTAGGCCTTAACTATGTATTCAAAAGAAGTTCGTACAGCCATTATCCCTCCCTTATTGGCCTATTAAGACATAACCAACTAATGACTTCTACACTACCTCTTGTTTATATTTTCAACCCCTTTCTTATCATCCCTTAATCTTATCACATCCTCATTGAGAACGTGTTTCATTTACCTTCCTAACAATCAGTCTATCATTACTTAATCGGTTCATTTGTGTTTACTAGCCTTTATCGACTACTATGTCCACCTGAACATTTGTTTGTTTAATCATGCTGTTTTTTCATTATTCGTGTTATCACAGATTGCCTCACTTTTTCATCATTATTATTGATAAAACCATTATTACTATTATTATTATCATCATTACTATTATTATGACTAATTGCACAATTTATATTCACCATCGTATTATCCTATAGACAAAACACCATGATTGGTTTATATTTGAATTTTTATTTGTAAACCCTGTATATATTAGAGTTAAGCCTGATGAGTTCTGATTGAAAACAATATTGTTCGCTTAAATGTGTTGTTCGAAATTCTACTATGGGAATATTTAATATATTTAAAAAGAAAGATGACAAAATTTTGTCATATTTCGATAGCGCGTATAGGCGATGTAGTGATTTGGTTAGATTTTTTTACCTTTTTTGCTGGTTACAACTGATGTATTTTGATACACATTTAAATTAGATTGCTGATATACAATATTTAAGAAACATCTGCCTTTTCTAACGAATGGTATTCTTTTATTTCATGCAGATCATATTCTTTTACCAACTAGTAATCTTGGTCAGATCAGATTCTTACCAAATTCTGTAGCCTCCTCATGCTCTCCACAAATGGCACCAATACTTATTGAATCTGGACAAAATGGATTCCCCACCACCTCCGTACAGTGTCAAACAACACAATTTCCAAATGGTTTAACACACACCCAGTATTCACCGGCGTCATCACCTGACAATGGTGGATGTCAGCCTATTGGTGAAAAGTTGTGTTATTTTATCCCGGTTAGTAGTAGTAATTCTTCTTCCTATCAGCCGAATTCATCGCATACTACCTCTACAAATATTACATCGAATCTTACTCAATTTTCTAATATCAACACAATTTCACCTGTTTCTAAAATATCTCATCCACATATGATGAATTCAACGAAAGTAATCAATGATAAATTGTCTATTCGACCTAATCGTTCAGTTCATCATCGTAATACTACTACGACTACTCCTGGTAGTAATACTCAAAATAGTAGTCAACAGAGTAAGTTGAAATTGAAAAAAATTTGTGTGTAGAGTGTTTGTTTTATGACTTCTTTGTTTTTGGAGTAGTATATTCCATGTTTGTATATTTGAATTTTATGTGTGTTTTTTTAAAGTTTGTCATGTATACTTCCTTTATCAATCAACTTCCCATTCTATGAAAATAGGGAAGTCTTTTAGTATCTGTCTCTTAACTGTTAATATCAAGGGGTAGGTGAACTTATCAAATGATGTTCCATCAGAAGGAATATGAGTGTAACAGAAGCATGTGGATATATATGAAGGCTTGTCAAAATGATGAAAGGTAATAGTGGTAATAATAATAATCATTATCAAAACTGATTGATGTTCTGCTGACACATACTTCCTGAGTTCGATCAGCTTGACATTTTAATGTTTCTAATTCATCCTTTTATTCTCTTATCCTTTGTTATGATATGTTGTCATTTGTATACAACTCAACTGAATTGAAAATGTCATCTTGAAACTTTGCACAAGAATGCAGTAGTAGTTCAGGTTGCCATTCTTCATTAAAGCAGAAATACTATAGAAAACAAAGAATGCTTACTTGGAGGGATGTCCCACCGACGACATTGGTTGGGGTGGCGCTAAATCACAAATTGGTAGAAGTCTGTCTTTTCGTTATTGTTTTGTGTGTCTCAGTAGCATATTTGTCACTCCTGCCCTGTGACACGGTAGCAGGAAGCGCGGTCGTTGTTAGTCCGGGCCACGGCCGACCCGGCATGATATTTTGTGATTTTCTATTTATCATAATGTTGGATTGGGTAGCTGCTTTTTGTTTAACCGCTATCCAAACAACCTTTCTGGCATGGTAGGACCTCAAGAGACGTAAGTCTCAGCCAGTATAGCTTGATTAGGTCATTACGGTGTTCAAGCCCGACCACCACGTCAAGGTAGCAGCTTTTGGTCGGGGGTAGAAGTTAAAATTCATGCGTTGGCCATTGAATTGGGTCCCAGTGGCTGAATGGTATGCGATCTTGCCTTGTAACTGGAAAGTCCTGGGTTCTAAACTTCTGTGGTGGGTGCGTACTTCCGATGATTCCGAAACTAGAATGAAACAGCTGTCCAGTACTCCTGGTTTTCAATGGTTCTCTAACTGATATCAATCCGTGATCAACTCGTAAAAATAAGAATTCAATAGATTTAAGAGTTCACTTTCCAGTGATTGGTTCTTAGTGTCTTGCCTATCCAAATCAGCAGGAAGTTTATATCTCTATACATGGCGAAGACCAACGCTCAAGGACTTCATCGAATGATGCTGTGTTTAAATTTGATTACCGCTAATCCTATATGAGTGCTAACACTGGTCGACGTGAAAGATGATGATGAGTTGGCATCTCAATCGATGCATTTTTACAGCCTCATCGACTGACTTTCCTTCGTCCCCTAACACTCTACACCTAAGCTGAATATTACTCGCCATATTATATCATTTAATATGGAAGACAGAATATAAACACTTCAATTTTAAACGCCCATGTCTCACAGGCGTAAAGAAATACGGAGTGAACCTTCTGTGCAGTAACACATCCTGTTGACGAACAACCCGATATCACATTTATGCCAGAGATGACGTAATTTGAATTACACACAGCTGACATCCTAAGTATTGTTTTGATGGCAATAACTGTCATTATTAATTGTATAAATCCATTTGATTTGCGGGGAGTGTTTTACCATTTTACATTTTAACAGATTTATTACTTCTATGTACTAACAATGTTAGGTGTACATTTGAAGGCGATTGTTTCTACCAAGTTGATGGTGTTACTATGGGAAGTCCGTTAGGGTAGATATTTATATGTCGTACATTGAGAGTTTATCGGAGAATTTAATCGAAAATATGCCACCTTATAGAAGGTATGTAGATGATATTTTAATCATAAGTGATAAGTCTTGTTCTGTCACCTCAATTTTAAATCGAATGATGAATGAATTTCAGAATAGCATATCACTTACATCTGTAGAAAAGAAAGATAATTCTTTATCTTTCCTGGACATATTGCTTAGTCGCCGGCTTGATGAGTCAATAAAAAGATCTATTTATAGAAAACCTACTGGACAGGACAGTATCTTAATTACCACGGTTTCTGCCCTGTTCGGTACAAAACAGCCTTAGTGGGTGAGGTGCTTCCTCAGTAGAATCCAACAAATGTGCACCGAAGACACATCTGATGAAGAAGAAAGAAATCTGACACAAACTCTGGTTGATAACAATTATCCAGACAAGTTAATTAAGAGATATAAAATGGTAAGAACACCAAGACCCATTCTCCATCTCGCTGCCAAGAAAGACCTGTACATCAAGCTACCCTATATGGGGCATCATAGCAGGTTGATAACTAGACAAAGATTGAACGCTGTTGTTAATAAAAGACTTTTTATGCAGCTAATATCATAATAATTGAGAATGTGAAGCCAATATATCTATCTAAGCCCTTTGAACATACGAAAAATGATGTCACATCCCACTGTATTTACCAATTTGAATGTACGTGTGGACACACATACAAAGGTAGGACTCCTTGATCTCTGCAAGCAAGGGCTGACTTCAGAGCATATTCTTAGGTGGCTACAGAAACAAACAGAATCTTCAGAGCCCACTAGTGGTGAGCATAGGAGACCTAGCTCCTCTATTGCCAAACATATTGTAGAGACAGGACATGAAATTGATGTTTACACGTCTTTTAAATCTATCTATAAAACGTGTTTTGGGGCGTATCCTGAAGTTTGTAGAAGCCCTATTTAGCAATTACGAAGTTTAAAGCACCTTTATGCGTTCAAAGCAACAATTCGTCATCACACTAAACTTTCTTTGGTGAACTTTGTTTGGATACCATAGCAGATGTACTATTACCTCTGTTATTTGGTTTAGTGGTCTTCATTGTTATTTTGACCTTGAGTATATCCTTTTAATTTGACCTAAGTCTATTTTTCTCACCTCTTAACTACTTAATTATTTCATATATGACAAGTCCGTGTGTGATCAGATTGTTCGAAATGTGTTGCGCAAATACATTACACGATTCAGACAAATTACGTCTTCTTATTGCTTTATCTAAATCCATAAAGGGAACTAATTGTTTCAAATATACAAGAATATTATCCTAAGTAGCCATTATATATATATATCAAGCAACCAACAACAACAAGCACCAGTGGCTATTGACAGAAGATATTTGAAGGAGGTTGCCACTTTCATTATTCATCTAACCAGAATCCTTTCAAATATTGGCGACACGAATGAAGGTGTTAAAGCCAGTTAGGACTGGAATAGCAAGATAGACCTTCATTACTCTGAAATCAGTATGAAAATCTAAAGTGTTAAGCATCAAAAACAAGATTCCGATTTTCAACACCAATGTCAAATCAGACAGTGCTTCTATATGGTTCAGAAAAATAACAGCGCACTAGACAGGCTGTAGACTTTCGTCAACGGTTACTTTCGCTCCGTACTGAAGATTAGATGGCCAAAAAAGAATAACTACAAGGAACTCTTGTCAGACAACAAACAAATCAAGAATACATCGCCTAACAAATAAGCAGAATCTAATGGGGACTGATCAGGCACATACTGAGAAGACTGTTGAGTAGCATGACACGCTAGGCTATTGCTCGAGTGCAACCCTCGAATAGGTGTTGACAAATTGCAGAGTCTTCTGAACACCTTGAGCAGCAATCTTCGCGATTCGCTCCTGTAAAATGTAAGATGCTGCTACAGGACTGGACTACGTCAACTTCTAGCTTAGTGATAGGGAGTGAAGTGATAGAACATGTTGACCACTTCACTAATTTGGGAAGTTGTATTAGCACCAACGGACTGATTGTAGACAAAATCTCAGCACGGATCCAAAAAGCTCGAGCTTCTCTCGCTGACTTATACCATCTCTGGCGTAGGCGTGACATCCGGCTATCAACCAAGGGACGTGTGTACTGCTCAGCAGTTCGCTTCGTCCGTCCTTCTCTATGGCTCTGAAACATGGTCAATACGCGTTGAAGACATGAAAAGGTTGACTGCTTTCGATCATAGATGTCTGCGATCTCTTTCTCACGTTAGGTGGTATGATAAGGCAAGGCAAAGAGGGGAAATCAATTGACGAGGCTATAAAGTTACATAGATTGAAATGGCTAGGTCACGTGCTGCGCATGCCTAACCATCGCCTCCCCCGACGGGCATTACTAGCTAATATAGGTGCAGGTTGGAAAAGAGTAAGTGGTGGCCAAACAAAAACATGTCATCGATCCATGAAATCCTTGACAGTTAAACTGAGTCGGTCAGGTAGGGAGGGAGATGCAGACTCCCGGGTTGGGGCCCTCGGGACACTAGGAATCAATGGCTGGAGACAATAGGTGACATGGCTCAAAATCGTTGTCAATGGCCAGCGCAGATGTATTCAGTCTCTGTAATCTTTCATATTCCTTTCTACCATTACCCATTCTGTTTCATTCTTATACTTGTCAGACTGTATTGGTTCTCTTCACTCATCTTCTTGTCTACCTCTGTGTGCTATTTGGAAGGTGGCAACTGGAACTGCTGCACTTCGGTGCCAAGTTCTATGTTGAATCCAGACATACAGAACCCAAATAGGAAACGACAAGTTGAGTGTAGGTCCAACGATGAAATGGTGGAGATATGAGACTATGAACAATCGTCAGGCAAGCTTAAGATGACCAGAGAAGGCGATGTTATTGAGATGTACTATTGAAGGCCTACGTTCCGCGCAGAACCCAAGGGGTTGTTAATAGTAAACTTACATTGTAAAATAATGAATTATAAGCAACCTCGTTTACCTGTTTACCTACCTGGGAAGCATCGTTCAAACTACAGGAAGACGGAACTGATGAGGATATCAAAGCGAGAATCGAGAAGCAAGACATGCTTTCATTACTTTCAAGTCTGTATGGAGGTCAACAGCACTGAGCATGAAAAATAAGACCTGGATTTTCATCTCCCAGGTGAAGCCAGTGCTAGTCGCTATACGGATCCGAGACTTGGGTTCGCATCATAAAAGGCACTTCGAACAAACTACACACCTTCATCAAAAACTGTCTTCGCTCAATACTTAGCTCAAGATCAGATGACCCGCCAGAAAAGATTAGTAATAGTGAAGGATCTCTGGGAGAGAATCAACCAGGAACCGACTGTGCAACAAATATGCAGGAAGAAATGGAGATGGATTGGCTGACCATACCCTTAGAAAACAAAACATCAAGTGACATCACACTCCAGATCATTGCTCGAGTGGAACCCGGACGTGAAGCGACGAGTTGGGAGTCAGTGTAAGGGTGACATGGAGGAGATCATGAGAAGAAGAGATGTAAGCATGTGGGCAGACGTGGAGCCAGGTGAAAAGTTTGGCAGGAAACCCAACGCAATGGAGACGTGTGGTTGAAGCCCTGTGGTCCTCTAGGAACCAAATGAAATAATAATATAATACTAATTTGAATGGTTTGTTAATTTTATGATAAAAGAAAAGATTATTGAGAGTTGTCACGTATAATGTGGTTTTTTTTAAATTGCTATAATTTGTTTATAGACGGTACAACACGAAGTCAAGACACAGATACACCAGATGAAAGTGGTGTTGGTGAATCAATTATATCGAATGAATCACCAGCAGAGAGTAGAGCATGCGGTGGTGTTGGTGGCAGTGTTAGTGTCAGTGGGGCGATCAATAGTGCTGCATCAAATTCTGTCGCGTGCAATACACCTAGTCAAGTTGACTGGCGATTGAATATGGTGAGTGTTTTTATTTTCCGTTACTACCGTTTTTTTTTTATTTCAAAAGGTAATTACCATGTCTTATTCCAATATGTGGTAGTAAGTGAATAGTACACATGATCGACATATTAGCATGTATTCTGACTGGAACTAAAGAGGTGAATATATGTATGTAGTTAGTTGACTGAAGCACTCAGTGCTCAGTTAAAGATCATAGGGTTGAGATTACTCTGTTTTCCAATCTAAGCTTTCATATCATGTGTCAAACACAGTTCTTGGCACAGAAGAAATTCTATCCAGGTAACTGAGTTTTAATAAGTTTGGCACAGACAACATGTCACTGACTCATGATGGACAGTTCCATGAAAATCTCATCTGATACTTTGAAGTTTTGTAATTGGACGTTTTCCCTTTTTAAATTACTGTTTAGTCTGTTTGATAGTGTAGACGGTATATAATGACACTTTGTTTCACATCTTTTTTGTTGAGTAGATCATTAGAACTACTTGAATATGATTTCATTAAAAGCTCTAATTGTAAATATTTGTGCCATGACTTTAGTACATTTTTTCGGGAATTGGCAAAAGTCATGGAACATTAGAACGTATCCTAGTGGCTGAATGGTTTACGAGCTCGCCTTGTAACCATCAGAACCTTGGTCTCTAATCCCGATGTGTTCATGTTGTCCAGTACTCCTTGGTTTTCGAATAGTTCTCCAAGTGATGCCAACTCGCGATCAAACCTCCTGTAACTTGTAAATGTATTGGTAGTTTTGTTTCCACCCTTGGTTGTGGTTTTCGTCTTTAGAACCACCTCGTGATTATGCCTTACTTATTTGTTCAGATTTGTCTACTCACGACAAGTGTGGACGCTAGTTTGTTCAAAATCTGCTGCTCTATCTAATTACCTTTAATTATAACTCTTGCATTGCTGTCATTTTTGCATGTAATTCTAATTGTTTAGTTTTATTAATTTGACCTTTGACCGGAAATTATTCTGTAACTTTCCCACCCATTCATTATAAATACACGAATGTACAGCCCAGTTGATGACACTTCGTCGAAAAGTAAAATTTTCTTCATTGCAACCGTCTTCTTTTTAGTAATTATAATCATCCCCAAAATGTTATCATCGCATTATATATATACATATATATGCGTCTCTGTTATCTTTCAGCCTTTTGAAATATCTCTGCCAACTGATCATCCTTCACATCATCAGTTTAATGCACCAGTTATTGTGTCTCATTCGAACGGTATCCAACAACAACAACAGCATTCACATCCACACGTTGTCCTGCATAGTTCTCATTTCTCTACAGGTACAACTCAATTCACTGTAGATCCTATGGATCAATTTTCAACAATACCACCACAAGATCGTATAGGCAGTTATTTGAAAAGTTTGGGAGAATTAGATACAAATCGTAGGATGGAGATATTTCACTCGTATCAATTACAACAAAATCAAAATTGTTTAAATTCAACTGATTTAATGGATACTACTAAGAACTTGCATCCATCGAATTTCTTGCATTATCCGCCACCGCTACCACCTCCTTCTTTCCCGCCTCCTCCGACAGCTCAACCACCACCTCCAACAGCAACAACAACAACAATACTAGCGACATCAGCAACTGGATGCACTGTGTCATTGCCTACACCGACTGATGGAGCATCCCAATTGAGGTAATTTAAGTCATAACATGTACTCTGTCATAAATTCCCTTTCTTCTTTACTCGATAAAGTGTATGTCACTCACATGTTTTAATTTTTTCTGTACGGCATGTTCACTCAATCGATTCATTTGTATACGCAGTGATTAATTGAACCTTGGTTCTTTTAGATTTGAATTTATTCGTAAATATCGAATGCATACCTAGCAGTATTAGTCAGTCTTTTTTTTCTTTTACCTGGCTAAACGTCACACCAAAGGCTACTGATATCGCCTAGTTGTCCACGTTGAAGATGGATGGAGCGGGATTCGAACCCATTAACCTATGGGTTGAAACGAGCTGATTAAGCCGATGAATGATACCACCGTATTAGCAGCCTTCTTTTTTTACTTTTCTGTCTGTTTACTGATTTGTAATTAGTATTCGTGAAGCCGTAATTGTGTTTTGTAAGATTGGTTTAAGTGTTAACTTGCATTTACGTGTTTGTTTTTTTATAGTCTAATTTACTCAAAACACAAATGGTTTGCGGTATATTGCTTAGGGAATTACATTAAAGACAGACAAATGAGTCTTGTTTTAATTATTTTGTTTGATATGCTATTGAATTTTGATTGTATTTCTTCTTCTGTAGATAAAAGAAAATGGATTCTAATCTTATCTCTGATTATCATCAGTATTCTTGTTTTTTTTTTAATTTCTTGATCTTGTGTTGCCTGTTTCGAATGTGGTGTCGTACAGCCATTGGTGCTGACACTGGAATACTTGACCACCACTAATCCTTTTCCATCCTGATCTTGTTTCAGGTTGGAAGAGAGTTAGGGTATGACATGCCTGAACTTGGAATCATTTAACAGCCTGAGCAGCCATGTAGGGAGGTGTAGGCTTCTTGATTGACGTGCTCGGGATTCTACGAACTAATCCCTGGAGACAGTTGGTGATATGACTCAAAATCGTTGTCAATGACATAGATGCATTCACTGTTCATGATCTACTACACTGACTCCTAGTTTAGAAGTAGGAAGTGAAGTGGTAGAGCACGTTGACCGCTTCATTTATTTGGGAAGTACCATCAGCCAACCCCAACGGACTGATCTCTGACGAAATCTCAGTACGGATACAGTGGGCTAGTTTCGCATATGCGCCAGCTTACGCCGTCTACGGCGTAGACGTGATATCCGACTAGCTATCAACCAAAAGGCGTGTGTATTGCTCATCAGTCCGCTCCGTCCTCCTTTATGGCCAGCTATGAGATGTGGCCATTGACAGTGGAAGACATGAAAAGATTAGCTGTCTTCGATCATAGGTGACTGCACTCTACCTCCCGTGTGAAGTGGTATAATAAGGTGAGGCATTGGTCGAGTGCTAGATAAGGTGGGAGGGGAAATCAATCGACGAGGCTGTGAAATTACATCGACTGAGATGGTTAGGACACGTGTTACACATGCATCTTTAGCCATCGCTTTCCTCGACCGATTAGCAGTGTTAGCTAACATAGGGTCAGGTTGGAAAAGAGCTAGCTAGTGGCGGTTAAACCAAAACATGGCCTCATCAGTCAATGAAATTCACAACAGTTAGTTTTAGCCAGTCACCTAGGTGGGTGTAGACAGGCTTTCTAGTTGGGGTCCTCGGGACGGTAAAAACCAATGGTTGGAAACAATTGGTGATATGGCTCAAAATCCTCGTTCTCAATGGCTGGTACAGATGCATCCACTCCCTGTTACTTATGGTTTCCAATGAAACTATATTGTTCTTCGTTATTATTATTCCTTTGTCTCACACCTCTGTTTGCTGTCTCTTATATGCATTTCTTCTACTTTCTCCTTTTGCTTTGTGTGCCATATGGAGGGAGTGTGGTGACTTGAACTGGTGCACATATGTGCAAAGTTCTATGTTGGAAATAGACAGACAGACTTCCTGATCGGCCATGTTCATTAAACGCTAATCTGTTTCTCTGTGTGACTATTCTTTCTCCCATTTCTCTCTCCCTCTCCTTTCTCTGTCTTTGTTTGCTACATAGAGTGTGGCAACTTGAAATAGTGCATATTTGTGCGCATCCAACTAGGTGGTATCATTAACAGAGTCATACACGTGTGTTTCATTACTGATATGCATGAACATCAATGTATTGAGCGTGACTTGTTTGCTAGTCTTCTCCATCAGTATGACACTGTGCAAATTAAGTCTCTTCAAATTCCCTATTGATTGATCATATATGGAATTGAAATGCTCAACCTTTGTCGACAGAGAGAGAGGGTGGACACTATCATTCACTGGCGAGTTCAAAATAGGATGAAAAGACGCGAGTCATACGTATTCTACTGCTGCCCCAGCCACCATTGACCGTGTAATCTAATCTAACTTGTTATTGGGCTTGTATGGGCTTTATTTTTCAGTTACCTTCAAATTTAATATATATTCTTTCCTGATAACTATCTGTGGAGGGGTATCTTACCTATTATTTTACATGGATTTGTAATTTTCTGTATGCTGTGAAAAATGCCTATCTCATGTAATTAAGACTATATGAGTCAGCAAAGAGGTGTCCTTTTTTAAAACCTTATTTCAAAGCTGTGCAAGGGGGGGGGTACATATCCAATGTAGATTGACAGCAAAGGTCAAGAGGTTTGCATATATAAAGTATGACCAAGTCGGTCGAAAGGATTTCCGCTAACATCTTCTTCATGAAGCTGAAGCCTTAACAGCCTTTAAGGAAAGAAACCTTAACTTTGTGTTCAGAAACATTTTATCCAGTTTTGGTTTTCACCATCATGGCCTTAGTAGTAGTTTGTTTTTCCTTATTTTTTATTTTACGGAGTAACTGTATGATAATAAGCTCTATGTAGTCCGTTTTTTGATAAAGAAATGAAGACGAAATTTTCAGTATAAAATGATGCCATCATTCCATTTCACAGGTTCTCATCATCTGCAGACCACCTGAAATTACAATGGTTTTATAGATGATAATAACATACTTTAATGTTTGAGTGGTGGCAGAGAAGAGATACTATAAAATTGACGCATCCAAAATGAAAGCATTACCCTTTTGCATTTACCAGACACCTTGTTGATACCGGACATCTCGTAGAGATTTCTAAGTCCTTCAAAATATTAAATAGACAAAGGACAGTAAATTTACTACGATTTGCCGAAGCGATCGCAATTAAACGACTTAAACCAGACTTATGCATACACAAAGAGAATGTGATCAACCTTTCACTCCCTTGGTAACAGAATTTTGATTAGTCATCTAATTCAGTGATCTCAACTCAATGAACAAATCTTAATCTCACAAACTGTAACCGCTTTTGTGTCTTGAGTTGCTATGTGAACCTAAAAGCTAACACTGTTCTGTTAATCAATTTTTCTGTTTTCTGTCTTACCCCTTCCCCTCACTCTTTTCAACTTTAAAAGCGTATAAATTGATGATAAAAACTTAAACTAAAAACATTGTAATCCTTTCATTTTGGATGCGTCAATTTTATAGTATCTCTTCTCTGCCACCACTCAAACATTAAAGTATGTTATTATCATCTATAAAACCATTGTAATTTCAGGTGGTCTGCAGATGATGAGAACCTGTGAAATAGAATGATGGCATCATTTTATACTGAAAACGTGGTCTTTCTTTCTCTATCGAAATTTATCAAGGGAACCAAATGTATGAAGTTTTTGAAAAGACGCCTCCCAGTCGCTTTTTTATTTTCATTATTTCCATGTTTTCGGGAACTACTTTCAATCCTTCGTTGTCTTATTTTCTTTTATCAGTTATTTCCAAACGATTATTCTTTTCCTCAGATAAGTTAATTGTCAACTCTCTTGATTACGTAATACTACTGCCAATTTTTCAAGCTTTAGTTTCTACTCATACACTTTGCTATTTTAAACTTTGTTACTAATTAACTGATAGTAACCTTTGATTTCTGTTGTAAATCTACATTGGACATACTAAACCACCTAAATAATTGTATATCTTTGAAGTGAAGCTTCGAAAAAGAGATCTCTTTACTGACTCATGTCTTCTTAATATAATTGTAATTTACACCTATGGCGACTGAAAATGATCCTGTTTAATCGTTTCTCTTAACAATTGGTTCTCGAATGAATATGTAGATTTCAAATTCCAGCTTGCACAGTAAGCCCAATTGTCGTAGAACAGTGTACAACTTTAAATCCTACGTATACAAGTGTAGCTTGTATTGTGTAATTGATTTGCATTTCTGAGATTTGAATGGATTCTTTTTTTCAAATCGTGGAAAATATCCATCAGGACACTTGAAAGTAGGAAACAAGAAGATTAGCACAGATATTATTTCGATGATTTCACCACCGAAAGCAACTGTACAATAACACTGATACATACATAAGTCCACTTGGATACAATTAGCATTATTTAACTCCATATAATACTAACAATGGAGACCAAGACTGATAATTATTTTCAAATTGGTATGAAAGTTGGAAGGTGTGAGTGAATATAGAGGAGACTGCAAAACAAAATTACACAGGGATTAGGAAATAGTTGTATTATATGTAAAATAGCTTGTTTATTTGTTAACAAACACAAGTGTGAACGGGATGAGCATAGGTACAAATCGTTTTTTTTCGGTATAACTGAAGATGAAAAACTGACTGAAGGGAATGAAAAGAGAGGAGGAGAAAACAAAAACGAAAATCAAGGAGTCAAACATGAACTAGATCCATGGTATATGTAGACGTTGGACTAGTTTCTTTTAAAGCATATAGCTCCGTGTTTTTTATGCATATGACAGTATAAAGAAGTCACTTTGTAAGTAACTCTGAATGATAGATCAGTCCTGTTGAGATGCTGTGATAGGTATTGATGAGATGTTCAACTTTAGCGCTTCTCATTATAAACTAGGTTACCCTGTTTGCAGTCACATTTTCACGAGATCTAAGCTTCCCGTGTAACCTCCTCTATATTCACTCATACCTTCAAACTTTCATACTAAGTTGAAAGTCATTATCACCTTTTGGTCTTCTTTGTTAATTATTATTATATACTTTAATTCTTAGAGGAACATAGGGCTTCAGCTGCGCATCTCCTCCATTGCCTTCTGTTTTCTGCAAAATTTTTCACCCCGCTCCAAGTCTCTCCACATGCTTTCATCTCCTCTTCAGATGACCTACTCCAAGTCACCCCTCCCTTGCACTGACTCCCAACTCGCCTCTTCCCTTTCGGGTTCCACTTGAGCAATGGCTTGTCTAGTGATGTCACTTGATGGTTTCCTCAGAGTATGGCCTAGCAAGCCACCTCCATTTCTTCCTGCCTATTTGTTTCGCAATCGGTTCCTGGTTGGTTCGCTCACTCCCAGAGATCTCTGTTGCTGATCTTTTCTGGTCGGCCATCTGATCTTGAGTGGTATTGAGCGAAGACAACTGTAAATGAAGGTTTGAAGTTTGTTTGAGATGCTCTATATGACGCACCAAGTCTCTGATCCGTATAGTGAGTATCACTGACTTCACATTGGAGTTGAAAATCCGGATCTTATTTTGATGCTGATTGCTGTTGACTTATTTCCACACAGACGAGAGTAATGAAAGCTTGTCTTACTTTTCCGATTCTGGCTTTGATATCCTCGTCAGTTCTGTCCGCCTGTAGTTGAAATGATGCTTCCCACGTAGGTGGGTAGGTAAAGGAGGTTGTTTCTTTCAGGTTCCTCCCATTTATGCTGGGTGATTGTTGTCTGTTGTTGTTGTTGCTGTTGATGTTGGCCAGGAATCTTCATCACCTCTGTTTTTATCTATGTTCACTTGAAGTCCTATCTTCGATGCTTCTTCTGCCAGCTTGTTGCTTTTCACTTGCATATCTTCCAGTTTGTGGGAAATCAGACATACATAAATCATCGGCGAAGTCCAGATCCTCCAAGTCTTTTGTGTGAGTCTATTTTATGCCTGTTTCCTTATTGCCCGTCGCTGTCTGTCGCATTATCCAATCTACTGTATCCAAGTAGACTTATGCATATATCAATGTGATTGTACAATTGGTTTCGGTGATGAAATCGTCGAGAAGTTTTGTATTTTACTGAATTTCTCGTTCTTGTCTTTCTTAAATGTTTAATTTTGATCATCATCACACCCGTCAGTTTTAATAACGTTGTTTTCAAAAATCTTTTTAACGTTGGTGCAATTGTGGGTTTTATTTTTCTAATATTTTCTATTTAGTCTGCATTTAAGTCCAGTCAGTGAACCTTCTAAATCAAGTATTTCTCAGTCTCAATTCGTTGGCAAATTTAATGAACAAGCCTTTCAATCGAATGGAAAATTAGAAAATGAACTTAATCAATCGAATAATTGTTCGCTGAACATTAATAGTTCACGGATTCATTCAAAAAATTTATGTGAATCAATTAAATCGCCTCATAATAATCGGAATGATGATGATCATGATCATGATGATGGTACCTCTTCGAAAAATAAAGAGACACCACATCCTCCTTATACATTTTCACATTCAAAAGTTTCTCATATACGTCGACGAAATAAACAACTCGACATGGAACGTGTTGGTGGTGTTGGTGGTGACTCACATTTTGACTGTCCCAATGGACGTCGGCATATATGTGATGATCGATCAGAAGAAGAATCAAATACCGAAGAAGTACCAAGATCATTAGAAGATGAAACTTTGTCTATTGCATCTGATTCACCAAATAATTCATCATCATCGATTAAACCAGATGCTGCTGTTGCAGCTGCCGCCGCCGCCGCTGATCTTTCAGGTGAAGCTGATGATAATGATGATGAGGATGGCGACGAAGATGAAGATGATGTTTATCAAGCCCCTGATTGTTACTACTTACCTAATCATACTACTAATCAAAATTCACAAAATATTCATGCAAATCCTTTATCAGCTCATCCATCACTGAAGTATCTATTTGAACAAGTTGTAGAATTACTCAATCAGAGTAAAACGCTTATTGATAACTCTGAGCAAGACAGCAATACAAATTCACAGTCAACTTATACTACTAAATTGTGTAATAGCATAGACACTTTCAGAATTGACTTAGAAGCTCATATTGTTCAGTATATCGACATAAATTCAATGCTTGTTAAAGATATTTTAATTGCATGTGATCATTTAAGTAAACAAACAGCAGACTGTCTTTTGCATTTAAATACTACAGAAAATAAATATTCACTTAATTCATGTTATAAATGTTTAAAAGATCTACATGATTATCTATATGAATTGTTGGATAAATCAAAATCTACGAATACAAGTTCATCAGTAGTATCTGGTGGCAATCAAACTCATTCCGATGATCGATCTTTCAATACGACTACTACTGCCACTCCTACTCCTGCTGCTGCTGCTGCTGCCACGACTACAACTCATGTATTCGGCAAGGTATGAGATCTCTGCACAATAACCTCTAATTCAATAAATAATTACAATCATAGTAACCTAACAATGTTGCCGGAAGTTGGAATTCACAGTTATACAGTGTAGTACAGTGCACTTGGTACTTGTACACTTGCCCTTCAAGATATGATGTCCAGTTTAGTCGTTTTGCTTTCATTTAAAAGAAAATATATAATGTAATATTTAGCTTATTCATCAAAAATAAATCTTAGCAATGCCAAGTACTACCAGTGTGTTTGTGTGTGTGCGCGCGTGCATGCTCGCATGACTTGTATTCACACATTGCTGTTTTCTTTTCTTTTTTCTTTTCTCCATGTCTATAAAGCAAACAAATCCTAATCCCCCCCATATGTATGGATGTATGTATGTATGTATTATCTTTGATAATTTCCCATTCACCCACCACAAATGTACCCTCCCCCTCTCCCCCAATTCGTTTTCTTCCCCTTTTGGGATTACCTATGTCTTTCGATTATGTTAACTTTCTGTCGTTTATAATAATAATAATAATTATTATTATTATATGCACATATAAAGTGGCCAGTACATGTATGATGTTATTACTACTACTGATGATGATGATGGTCTTTTGAGTGTAAGTAAGAACTTTCTTTTATATATATAATTTTCAGCTAACTGTCATTGCTGCCTTCTTGTACTGTACAATCAATATTCCTATGTTGTATTCTTTCTTTCTTTTGCTTGCCCTTTGTCTATCACATATATATATATATATATATATATATATATGCAATATTTGTATAGAATTCATTTTGCATGTGTCTTATTTTATCCCTCTTTCTTGTTTTTTCTCTTGTTTTGTTTATTCTAATTTTGTTCACGTTGACTTTTTTCGCTTATTATTATTAGTAGTAATATTTTTATCATTACTTTGATCATTTTGTGAATCACAGGATATACCTGTCTATTATCATGCTCTGATGATGATGATGATGGTAATCAGCACATCAAATGTCAATTAAATAAAAAGAAAATTATGCATATACATATATATATATATCCTCTTGATGACTTCCACTGAGTTGTCTGAGCAGCCCACTCCTCCTCATCCTCCCGCCCACCGCCGCCGTACTCTTCAATTCTAACTTCCACTGTGTTTCATAGTTAGTCAGTGGAAGAATAGTAAACTCATTATCTATCTTCTATTTTCTTTTGCACAAGCAATATTTATTTGCCTAAATATTGTTGTTGTTGTTTTGTGATCTTTTGTTTACAATCGGTGTTTCTTTCTTTCTTTCACCTTGGCTTAGTTGTTAATAGATTTTTCGAGCTAATGATTACAGTCTTGGTGATGTTGGTGATGGTCATGGTGCTGTTACATAATTTTAGTCCTATATATATATATATATATTAGTTTGTTATAGTGATAACTTCTTGTTTGTCTGTCTGTCTGTACATCTCTGTATGTGTGTGCGGGGGTGTGTGTCTCTGTGTATTTATTCGTTTGCGTTCTCTTACTCATATAATCATCATCATCATTATGCGATCATCGGGAAGAGAACCTACTTACTTACTTTACTTATATTTTTATTTTGTAATGAATTTCACATTTCATGGTGAATAGAAAAAAGCCTATCTGACAGGTGGGATAGGTGGATAGACAGACGGGTGGAGTGCGACAGAGAAAGGAGGAAGGAAGCCATTCACACCTCCTGTCGTTTTGGTTTGCTTTGTAGAAAAAAAGAAATTTATTTCCCTGTATATTTTATGAAAAAACAAACAAACGGAACAGACAGACAGTCATAAGATAATTTCTTTTGCCAAGAATGTTATTTCTAATTTTTATTTTGCCTTTTATTCTCTATTGTCGTTATTATTGTTGTAGCTGGTGATGATTGTCCTGTCTCTCTCTCCCTCCCTCTCTCTCTGCAGTCTTTTTTCTCAGTCTCTCCATCCGTTTGAGATAAAGGCTACTTCAACTACTACTACTGCGATAATGATGATGTCACTTAGATGCTGATTGATTTAAGTAGATGCTGTGAATGCCTACACTACACATTGTAAGAGCTGTTCTTGGTGTTGTTCTTGTCGGCTTCTGTCTTTATTTCCCTTTATTCACACACACACACACTAATATTTATTAATTTATTATTCTTATTATTATCATTATTATTATTATTAATGAATTACACGTATTATATTACTTGTGCAAATTTATTTAATATTTAGTTATTCTGCGTACTTAAACGAAAAAAAACAAATATCCAAAATTAATTAATTTTATTACTTCCACTAATTATATTAATAATAATAATAAATTATTGTTATTATCATGATGATATCTGCATTATTTTATTATTATTATTTTTTGTTGTTGTTATTTGATGAAGGAGTGTGTGTATCGGCCGGGACGGGGGGGGGTAAAGGGTGCTTTGTCCAGTGGAGCTGGTACTAGTGACTTTTTATTAATTACACTTGACAACTGAACGCTTTTGAGTAATTATCACATGTGATACACTGCTACAGAAACTTCAAGCGTCTAGCTTGGAGCCCTATGTTCTACTGGTAACGTGAAGGAAATAAAAAAATACGAGGTTGGATTTAGAGATTTACATTAAAGATCATTGTCAGAATAAAAAGGGATTCTGATAAAAAGAAATAGAAAGGAAAGACCAAATTTTTACAGTATTAAAATAATATCACACAGTGTTTCACAAGTTGTAATCAGTTGAAGACCACTCCGCTGAAATCACAATGGTTATAAAACAATCAGTTTGATTGGTAGTAAAAAAAATTTACATACCAAAAGTATGGTGGTGGTATGCAGATGACACATTCATTGTGAAAAGTCGTGACCAGTTGGGTGCAACAGGTCAGATGGGAGGACAAATACTCGTCCCTGAAGACATTGGCTCGGAGTCGCGCTATGTCGTGAATTGGCAGAAGTCAGAATTCATGGATTGGTGATTGGATCAGTTCCCAGTGGTTTAATGGAATACGAGCTCGCCTTGTAACCAGAAGGTCCTGGATTGGAACTTCCTCTGTGGTAGGTGTGTACTTCTGAAGAGTCCCAGACTAGGACGAAACAGCTGGTTCTCTAACCCATGTCAACTCATGATGTAATCCTGTAACCAATCAATTCCCTATAAACCAACACTTGAACATTCACTGTACTTAGAACACAGGATATAAACAGATTTTTTGAACACATTAACTCAAAAGTGGAGGCACTTCAATTCACTTATGAATGGGAAAGTCAGGAAAGGGAGCTTCCAATGTTAGATTGTAGCGTAAAAAGGAAAGAAGATTGGAAGTTAAACACATTCAAACAGATATTTGGACCTCCGATCATCCCAGCCTATGTCAGTAAAAATAGGATTAGTGAAATGTCTAAGTGACAGAGCACAAAAACTAAGTAGTACCAAAGAAAATCTAAGACAGGAAGTGATACATATAAGAGAAGCCTTGAAACTTAATAATTACCCGGATAAATTAGTCAGGAAATGTAAAAATAAAATAAATAATGATAGTAGCGATAGTGATAATAATAGTAATAATAATATTATTGACACATGTTTTTACCTAGTTTGGGACTCTTCAGCAATACGTACCCACGGAGGTTCGAACTCAGGACCTTCTAGTGGGTGAGTACTTATGAAGATTCCCAAGGTAGGATGAAATAGGTCTTCAGTACTCCCAGGTTTTCCAGTGGTTCTCTGACTAATAATATCAGCTCATGATGAAATCCTGTAACCAATCAAACAAATCCCTACAAAACCAATACTTGAAAGTTAATTCAAATAAGAAACGACAATTGGGACTCTCAAGAATGACAAGGAAGAGACCATATGAGGAGTAGATGAGAGTTTACGTATGGAAACGAAACAAGAAATTCATGTGAGTATCTTGATATGATTATGAGCAACAAATTGTGCTCGAAACTTTGTCATCAATAAATATTACTGTATGACTATCAAAATAAAATTTTATCCATAATGGAATTATACTCTACCACATTGCACAAGTTTTTTCCTCTATATCAATAATCACGGAGCCAGCTAAACAGCACTGAAGACAAGAGAGTGAAATGGAAATTTTGAAGTCTCAAAGGAATAATATTATTATTTGTGCTGATTGTGTACGTCAACTTTTGAAGCAGGATTTCGTCTAACTTTCTCAGAGTAGTCTTCAAAATGAACTCCGAACCCATATCCTTTATATTTTCTCGTTACTGTTTTCAGCGTAGACAGTCAGAAAGGCAATGTCCTACACTCATTTATCCAACTCTCTTGCTACTTGTGTTCCTTACAAATTTTTTTTCTTTTGGAGGTGGTGTTTTACAGGAGGTTTTTTTCTTCCAAAAATGCATCACTGATTACATGTTGTAATTTTTTTCCTTAATAACAATAATAATAATAACACCAGCTGTTGTTACATTAAATATTGGCATTTTTCATTGCTTGTTTTTACACCTCAACAGCTGACGGTATTTAAATCCCGTTGATTATCAGAAAAAAGGGAAGATCTTAAAAAAAAGTAAATCGGATATCTGTGAACTTCATCTCCTTGTGGATTAGTGGAGGTTATTTTACAATGCCAAGGAAGAATATTTTTGTGCGTCGGTGGCACAGTGGTTAGGACTCTCGCCGGCCATGCACATGGTCCGAGGTTCGAACCCCGTGCCGACGCACACCTGATATCTATGATCGGCCTGCAAAATTTGGGCTACCGATATCACATGCTGAAAATTCCATATTTCTACTAAAAAGTACTGTGTGGAATCAAGCTGTAATAAAAAAAAGTGTTATTTACAAATATTTGTTGGTAACCTGATGATGTTAAACAACTGCATTCACTGGCTTCATTTTGAAATATAAGCTCTTTGAATCGACTATATTATTATCATTATTGTTTCCTTGAGTTCCATTTGGAATACAGGGCCACAACAGCATATCTTCACTTTCGTCTCTCTTCTGCTGCCTTCTTTAGCTGGGCCTATTAGATTGCCCATGATCTCTCATTCTCTTCATATGATCCGAGGACGACTCGTAGGTCTGGGGGTGCGATATCGTTTGGCCATCTCCTTAGTGTATGCCCAATCCATCTCTATTTTCTCTTACATATTTTTTGAACAGTCGGCTCTTGGTTGGTTGGTTGGTTTCCTCAGTTTCTGGTGCTAATTCTTTCTGGTCATTTGATCTTCAATATAGATCGAAGGTGGCGGTCGATCAAAATCTGCAATCTTGAAAAGATACTTCGATGGCACTGTGATTGATTACTCAAAGTTGCATGTTTTGATTTTAATTATAGCCTGATTCCACACAATACTTTTGGTAGAAGTATGGAATTTTCAGCATGTGATATCGGTAGCCCTAATTTTGCAGACCGACCATTGATATCGAGTGTGCGTCAGCATGCGTCCGGATTGAACACTGGACCATGTGCATGTTAGGCGAGAGTCCTAACTGCTGTGCCACTGGTGTATTACAGTGGTATCCAAGATGCCAAAATGAAATTGATCAATTCGGTCAAGATGTATATATATATCAAAGGGAAATCACAAGTATTAATAGTTTCAAATCGTATCCATTGCATGCGAGATAGATCTTAATGATGGTACAGTAGACTAGTGGATAAGCCTTAAGCGTTTGAAGCTCTGAGTTCTTGTCTCAATGGAAATACTATCAATCAATGGGTAAGACAAGGTGTATCCAGTTAACAAGTACAAATTGAGACGAAATACTCATCCTCAGATCTTCTGTTAGTCAACATCAACCAAGTACATACAATAAAGTATGTTTAACAGTTATGTGGTTGTGAATATTTATTCATCTTATTGGTAAAACAGTAATGGCAGAGGTGGACTCCTGGTGAATTTGAACCCTGTTTTCCATGTTATCGGCCTAACAAGCTTGTAATTCAGTCACTGACAGTTACTCTAAGCTGTTATGTTCGCTCATCACGGAATAATCTAAATAACTAATAACTTTTTACTCAAGCTTAAACTGTCCTGAAATATATGTGGGAATCGATTGACTGATTGATTAAATACAACTTTTCAATTCAGTTTAATCCACAACCTCCTTGTCTGTAAAACAAAGACTATCTTTGATAGCTTTCTCAATAATAATGATGACAATAAAAATAAGACTAACATTATTCTAGACAAAATAAATGCACAATTTACAGAATTCACAGCGTAATTTATCGCATAACACTTTCTCTTTATCTGTGAACTTAGAGAAAAATAAGAATTTATAACATCTGGGATTTCGCATTAATTAATATCAATCATCACTTCCCTGATGGCTGCTGGACTAGTTTCCTGAATCTGCAGTGGAAATTCATGACTAGTGGAGTCCACTGTCTCTTGTGGCGGGGTGGGTCCTCATCGAAGAAATTAGTGAGTGCAGCTGTATATCACGAGTTGATAAAAGTGAAACTCAGGGGTCAATAAATGTTAACCTAAGAGGCTGAATAAGTCTGACCTCGTAACCAGATGTTCCGGCGTTATAACCTTTGGTGGAGTCGTGGATGTACACTGATGGAGAGTCCTGAAATAAGACAAGGCGGCTGTTGAGTATTTCTCCGTTTGTGAGCAAAACCTAGCAAGTGATGAAAATCATTTATAAACTGATCAGTGATCTGATTAGTGGTCAGCTTTCTTATAAGTTCTATAGTAGTCATTTCGTGGGTAAATTTCAACACTTCTGTAAGAACAGTGGTTACAGAATAATGTAAATTATAATATAAATATAATTCCCGTTAAGTCTCAGTCAGACTGCTTCAAATTAAATAGCTTCCTGTCGGACATCAGTCAGTAGCCTAAACTAAATGGCCTCATGCTGAATCCCTCAAAATGCCAGACTACTGACTTCTCCTTTAAGCATAAACGAGATCTACAAACACTATTAAGTACTCATGAAGCCTGTAGCATTGAGGGGACTATAATTGAAACAAAGTCTAATGCAAAATACCTCGAATTAGTTATATCTTCCGACCTTACCTGGTCATCTCATATCCAAATGATTTCCAAGAAAGTGTTTCGTCTTACCTACTACATTAAGAAACTCAGACTAACTGGAGTCCCTCAACCTCTGCTTTCACAATTTGTCAACTCTCGTATCCTACCTATTCTACTTTACTGTTCCCCGTTAGTCTTTCCTGGGTTACTGAAAAAGGATTATACCATCCTGAGAAGGATGTTGAAGGTAGTTAGTAGGACTAGCGGTGTAAAACTCAGTCAGCTCGTCACAACATTAGTGGATAAGCATCTGAATACATGTGAGAAATGGTCTAAAACCATACTCTCTGACCCCCAGCACCCCCTCTATTCCCAACTCTCTCCTTGCATCTCATCAGGTAGAGCCAGAAATCAGTACAAAATAATATATGTTTGTACAACCAAGTATAGGAACTCAACGATACCATATTTGGCCCGTGTTCTAAGTGACAGAGACAATATTAAGCGTGAAACTTATGACTTGCTTTGTTGTTAATAACATAATTTTGGTCCTTGTTATTTCCCCCTTATACTCTCTTATTTGTATTCTATAGTGAACAACCGTCTTAAACATACTTAGCTACCTAAAATTATTAACATTGGCCTACTTTTTTATTCTTTATTCTATTCCTTCTTTTGTGTATCTACTGGTCCTGACTATGTTATCACTATGGGTTTTACAAAATTGTCCCGTCATTAACCATCATGTAATATTAGTTTTGTGATTGTTGTTTTTTGTTCGGCAATATTAACTGACAATCTTGGTTGTGTACGCCGTTATCCCCATCCTAAAAATTTTTGTATTATGCAGGATTACTCACACTACCACAACAAACACTGCATTAGTGCTAACAATAAAAAAACTGAAATGTTTATTTTACGATTGTTTAGTGTTCAATCAAATTAACTGATCATCTTGGCTATAAACATTTTTGAGAA